TCTAAAAAAAAAAAAAAAAAAAAAAAAAAAAAAAAAAAAAAGGTAATATGGTTAATGTGAGCTGGATATGGTGGCTCACCCCTGTAATCCAGCCCTAGGAAGGCTGAAGCAGAGGAATCACTGCAAGTTCAAGGCCAGCCTGGATTACATAGGAAGACCCTGTCTTAAAAGCCAAAAATTAAAAAGAGACTAAAGATGCCGTGGTTTATGTGGATACACAGAAATGGCTGCCGAAAAAATACATAGTTGCTTCTCAGTCATTACAGCCTTATCAGAAGTGATATGATGTAAATAATTGAGTTATTTTTGGTAAAATCTTGCATTTATCTATTTGTTTAATAATACGAAAAAATAATGTGAAGCAGCTGAGGTTTACTGAAGTGTACAGTTTTGAAAATGAGTTGGAAATGGGAGTGTCATGCTTCCCTCTTCTTCCTCAGCCGGGCCCCTCAGATGCGAGCTGCGCCCAGGCCGGCCCCAGTGACCCAGACCCCGATGGTGGCCCCAACCTCCGCTGCTGCTCCCCGGCAGCCGGGTCTGATGGCCCAGATGGCGACCACTGCGGCGGGGGTGGCCGTGGGCTCTGCTGTGGGGCACACGCTGGGCCACGCCATCACAGGCGGCTTCAGCGGGGGAGGCAGTGCTGAGCCCTCCAGGCCTGACATCACCTACCAGGTAAGGCTCTTGGTGCTGTATTTTCTGAGGAAACTTGTTTGTAAGTCCCTGATGTGTGAGAACTGTCTTTCTGAATGCACAATACTGTGAACAGCACTCAGGAGGCTGAGGCAGGAGGATCACTGAGTTTGGCCAGCCTGGGCTACATAGTGAGTTCAAGGTCAGTCTGAACTGCTTGGGGAGCCCCTTATTTCAACAGAAAGAAAATAGGGCCAGGGGTTTAACTCAGTGATTCTACCACCTACCTTGAAAACGGAAGGACCCAACTTTGATCCCCAGTACCAAAAAAATAATAACAGAAAGAAAATAGGTTATCAAAAAGCACATTAGGCCAACATCAGCAAGTACTGTACAGGCTGTTTTTTTCTCAAGGAATAGAATTGTAACAGCCCAGCCTGATGCACTGTAAAATAGCTGCTGCTGCTTCTTTTTTTTTTTTTTTTTTTTTTGGTACCGGGGATATAACTCAGGACCTTGCACTTTTGAGGCAGGTGGCAGAACCACTGAGCTAAAACCCCTGCCTCAAAGTGGTTGCTTATGAGACAGGGTGTTGGTATGTATTCCAGCCTGACCTTCAACTCATTATTTAGCCTAGGTTGGCCTTCTACTTACAGTGATCCTCTTGAACCTTCCACATAGTGAAACTACAAGTGTGTGCCACTGCGCCCAGCTTAAATAGCTATTTCCCTTGCTGGCGCTTCTTACTAATCTAGTCTCTTAACCAGAAATTTCTCTTTTGGTGGTATGGGGGAATTGAACACAAGGTTGTTACACTGTGCTGCATCCCCAGCCCTTTTTCTTGGTTTTTGAGACCGGGGGTCTCATAAGTTACTTGGGCTGGGCTAGAACTTGTCCATCCTCCTGCCTCAGTCTCATGGAGTGCTGAGAGTACAGGCTTGTGCCAGCAGGCCAAGCTAAAACCCTCTGGTCCCTTACCAGTGCTTCCCACCACCTTTCTGACTGAATTTCTTTCCTAAGGAACCTGAGTGTGTCCTCTAACATATTGCTGGTGTACTTGAAACTCATTCATCTATTTTTCCTGTAATAGTCTCATTTTTCTTCTATGAAGCTTTACTGAATGTTTTTGTTTGTTTTTTAGACGGGGGTCTCACTAAATTGTCTAGGCTGGGCTTAAATTTGTGATCCTCCTGCCTCAGCCTGCCAAGTAGCTGGGATTGCAGGTGTAGGTCACTGCCCAGCTCTGTTTTATTTACTTTATTTTACTGTTGTGGTGCTGGGGCTCAAACCCAGGGCCTTGCCATGCCAGGCAAGTGCTGTATCACTGGGCTGCCTGCCCGGCCCCATCTCCTCTTGCAGTGCCGGGATAGCTGTTCCCCTTGCTGGCAGTTTGGTTCTTTGATTCGCATCTGACTCTGGTTCTGTTTCCGGTTTAACCCTGAGGCCTGGAAGCCGCCCTTTGCTCAGGTGTAATCCAATTCCTTCCTCAGCAGTGCCAGGTCTTTCCTTGCAGGAGCCTCAGGGAGCCCAGCTGCAGCAGCCTGTGTCCACTGGCCCCTGCTCCTTTGAGATAAAGCAGTTTCTGGAGTGTGCGCAGAACCAGCCTGACGTGAAGCTCTGCGAAGGGTTCAACGAGGTGCTGAGGCAGTGCAGGATCGCGAACGGTGGGTGCCTGTGCTTCCTTCCTCTGTCCGCTCACTCAGCTGGGGGGGACGACACATGAGCCTCCCTCTGCTCCCGGACTCCGTCCCTAGTGCACACTCTGCACACTCCGCTCCTTCCAGCCATGGGAGTGGCTCATAGAAGAAAACTAACCCTGGTACCTGCTGGTTTCCGCAGTTGGCTCTGCTAATTACCCCTTCTGTTTGCAGGACTCCTGTAAGCAGGAAGTCACACGGAAGACCTGAAATCTACCCGACCACCCAACCAAGTAACTTTAGCCTGGAATGTAATAAAGTGTGAAGCCGTTCATTTCAACCTCATTGCAGCTCATATGGCAGTGGAAGAGGATGTTCTGGCCACGCAGATGGGGCAGAACTGGGGACACGGGTGTGCATGTGTGGCCTCCTAAGCCAGCTGGTGTGATGTCATTAGTTCTTAGTAATTAGAATAAAGTGTTACTCTTCCAGGGACTGGTGTGGACTCAATGAGTATCAGGTCACATATGACACGCACGCGAGCGCCAAGAGAGGGAGGGACAGGTAGGGAGAGGAAGACTCGGGGACCTGCTCAGGTGTCTTCTGGAAGCTTCCGGAAGACTGGGCCTTGTAAGCTCAGTAAGAGTTTGACCACCCAGACCACCACCAACCCCCGCTGCCTGTTTTTTTTTTCCCCCCAAATGAATTTCGCTGCATCTCTCAGTTCAAAATTACAACTTTTTTAGGGCTTAGCTCCTGCCTACATTTTATTGTGCTGCTTTGTTTTGAGACTGTCTCTTGTTACGTAGCCCAAGCTAGTGGTTCTCCTGCCTCAGCCTCCCAGAGTGCTGGATTACAGGTGTGCATCGCAATGCATGCATGGCTCCTGCATCATATAAGGCAATCATAGGGAGTTCTGATAGATCCTCGAGACAGCCACAGCTGTGACAGTGGGGTGTTCCTACAAAGCCAGCCCTTTATCCGGGCCCAGAGAGGAGAGCCCCACAGAGATCTGTCAGCCCATCCTGTCCTGCCTGGCCCCCAGCCTCCCAAGCTTCCCTCGCCCGCTCTACCAGAGCCCACCGCTGGTGAGATGGGGCCTGGGCTCCTCCCTACTGAACCCTGGCAGCGCCCCAACTTTGCAGTTGGGATTTATTTTTGGTGTGTCAGCCTCGTCATCAAATAGCAAAGCCAGAAGCAGAGCTGCGGATCCTCTTACTGCAGTACCAGTGTCTGCTCAGGACACAGCCTCAGCCTTGTGCCTGCTCCCCGAGGAGCCCCAGGACCTTTGGGATTCTTGTTACTGTCACCAGACCTAACGGTGAGTGGCCAGGCAGCAGGGAGTGGGGGAGCCAGGGGTAGAGAAGACAGAACCCCCAAGTCTGCTAGACCCATTTCTCTTCTGAACTCCGATGCACCCTGGAAAGGGTTCCCATCAATAGTTTTGCTTTTTGAGACAGGGTATCACTATGTAGTCCAGGCTGTCCTTGAATTCACTATGTAGCCTAGATTGACCTCTAACTAACTTGGTAGTCCTCCTGCCTCAGCCTCCCAAGTGCCACCACAGGCGTGTGCTGCCATCCACTCTTCAGACAACTGTCTGGAGGTATTTTCTCCAGAAACCCAGTGCCTGTACAGGTGTTGCCTGATCCAAGGTTTCAAGAGGACTGCTCCCTCCTGGCACAGGCTGGCACCCCCGTGGAGGCTTGTGCTGCCCAGTTTGTGGGTGTGAGTGCACAGATGCCCATCTTGGGACTCAAAAGGGCTGCTTTCGCTGACAGCAGGCAGGAGCCCTGAGTGTGCTGCGCCTGCCCTGGCACAGGAGCCTGTTATTCTAACCCTTCCTGGGTAACCAGGCAGCTGCGAGCCAGGCACCAAGCAAGTCCCGGCTGTCAGCAAGTGTCCTGTATTGGGGCCCAGCCATCCTCAGAGGGGCTGGCATCGGGCCTCTTTTCTCTGTCTCTGACTCTTGGCAGGGCCTCTGCATCCCTCAGATCCTGGGTCCTGGGTCCTGGGTCCCCAGGGCCGCTGGCCATGGTCATACAGGACTTGGGGCATCTGCCACAGGGCTCTGGACCAGAGGGCTACATGCCCACCTGTCGTCTCACCTAGGGAGCAGTGCCTGTGCCTCTGCCTGGGTCCCCAGGGCGGGCAGAAATGGCAGAGACCTCCAGAGACAACCCAGTCTTGGGACCAAGGGCACTGGCTGATGATGCTGGAGGCTGGGATCAGCCTCACCTGCCCTGCAGCCCCTCAACAGCTGCAGGATGAGGGAGAGGAGGGAGTGAGGAGAAAGGATGGCCAGGTTACCGACAGGAGCGGTGGGGTGAGGTGATGTGTGTCCTGGGAGGAAGTGTTCTCCAAGTGGGGCAGGTGGAGGTGCGGGAAGGCATGGCAAGGGAACAGTAGTAGGACACACAACACCTTAGTCTGCAGAAAGAAAAGGAAACCACATTTTTTTTTTTTTTTGGTACCGGGGATTGAACTCGGGTCCTTGCGCTTGCAAGGCAGGCCACTGAACCACTGAGCTAAATCCCTGGCCCCAACACTCTTAATTTGTCCTCTGTAACCCAAGCACTCTGGGGGGCTGAGGCTGAGGCAGGAGGATCCCAACTTTAAACCCAGGCTGGGCAATTTAGTAACCCAGCAAGAGCTGTGTCTCCAAATAAAAAAGGACTGGGGATGTAACTCAATGCAAAAGCCCTGAGTTCAATCCCCATTACCAGGGAAAAAAATTTACTCTCTGCAGCTTCTCTGTGGTTCTCAAAGCAAATATGTGCAGTTGTCAGAGCTAACCTTGGGGCCTGACCCCCTGCCCAGAGCCTGGGTCTGCGCCTGCCTGGCTGGCCAGGTGCTGCCCACACGTGGAGCTGTGAGGGACCACAGGGTCCTGTGAGGTCACTGTGCCAAGAAGCAAGCCCTGCTCTGTGACACGAATCCACAGGAGGGAAATGGACCAGAGGGGCTGCCAGGACAGAGTGGACAGGAATTTTTAAGTTCACAAAAATTTCTTATGTTCATTCTAGGCCAGTCCTATTACAGGAGATTAAAAAAAAGGCAAGAGAGGACTGGAGATTTAGCTCAGTGGTGCCACCGCCTGCCTTGAAAGCGCAAGATCCCGAGTTCCATACCTGGTGCAAAAAAACGGGGGCGGGGGCGGCAAGAGATCCAGGTGTGGTGACATGCGCCTGTAATTCCAGCCCTCAGGAGGCTGAGGCAGGAGAATCACAGCGAGTTCAAGGCCAGCCTGGGGCACACAGCGGAGCTCTATCGCAAAGGAGTGGAAGAGCTGACCACTTCCTCCTGCTTTCCCCAGTGATCCTTGGAATCTCAGTCCCAGGAGCCCAGAATGACCCGTGACGAGGCCCTGCCAGATTCTCACTCCGCCCAAGGCTTCTACGAGAACTATGATCCCAAAGAGATCCTGGGCAGGTAAAAGCGGGCACCCTCGGCTTCACCTGGACCCTGCCCCCGGAGAATCCCTCCCTTTGCACCTCTTTTCCTCACCTCATCGTCCCCAGAGCTTGCAGCGGTGGGAGGAAAGTGGAAGTGGCCAGGTGAAGGCAGAGCCTCCCAGTCGCGGCCCTGACCCCGGACCCCGCCTCCAGGGGCGTCAGCAGCGTGGTCCGGCGCTGCATCCACAAGCCCACGTGCCAGGAGTATGCCGTGAAGATCATTGACGTCACCGGCGGGGGCAGCTTCAGCCCAGAGGAGGTGCAGGAGCTGCGGAAGGCCACGCTGAAGGAGGTGGACATCCTACGCAAGGTCTCGGGACACCCCAACGTCAGTGAGTGGCGCCTGGCTCCCTCCGGCCATGCAAGTGGGGTGTAGCCACTGCAGGGCTCGGGGCACCCGGAGCGCTCTGGGCCGTCGCGGGGACTCCCGGGGGCACCGTCCTGTCCTCCACAGCCACAGCGGCCTCAGTGCCCTCCCCACGCCCATGCTGCCCCTGCCCAGAGACAAGCCGGCTGTTTCCATTGCAGTCCAGCTGAAGGACACTTACGAGACCAACACCTTCTTCTTCCTGGTGTTTGACCTGTAAGTACCCAAGCCTGGAGCCAGCCACAGCTGGGGCCATGGGAGAACCTCTGCGCTGGTCCTGCCCAGTGAGCCAGGGACCAGTCCTCCCCCAAGGAGGGTCAGATGCCCCTTGGCTCAAGCTACCAGGATTAGAAACCGGGCTCACCACTTAGGGGCTGGGTCGTTTATTAGTTTTCGTTTCCCGTTTTTGGTTCTTTGAGGCAGGGTTTTACAATATAGTTCAGGCTGGCCTTGAACTCACAGTGGTTCTCCTGCCTCAGCCTCCTGAATTGTGGAATTACAGGCGTGTGCCACCATGCCCAACTATCATCTTTATCAGAAACACTCTCCAGGGGAGGGAACTCTTCACTGCATGGACCATTTTTGTAGGACTGTCTTGAGAAATTTCTCCATATGTAACAGTTAATTTAAGGGATGGATTTATGTGAGAAAATCGTCCAGATATACTGAGTTTGTATGGCATGAGATACAATTTTTTTTTCTTTGGGTGGCACTGGGGATTGAATTCAGGGCTAGACCTCTAGCCATTTTTATTTTACTTTGATACTGGGTCTCCCTCAGTTGCACAGGTTGGCCTCACATTTGTAATCCCCTGCCTTGGCCTCCCAAGTGGCTGGGATTACAGGTTTGTGCCACCCACCCGGCCCTGAGACACAATTTAACCTGTCATGCATGTACTGTGAAACTGTTGCAGCCCGCTGCTGTCTTTTGCACATCCCCACATTTACTGGTAAACCTTGGTTGCTGCTGATGTCAATAGTGAGTTCTCCTAGTACCTTTCAAATGGATTAAAATGATAAAGATGGGGTTTGGATATAGCCCAGTGGCAGAGCACTTGCTAGCATACTCGAGGCCCTGGGTTCCATCCCTAGCACTGAAGAAAAACAGAAAAAGACTAAGACTGGATTCATAGGACGGGCATGGTGGCGCACACCTGCAATCCCAGTACTCAGGAAGCTGAGGCAGGAGGAGTATAATGAGTTTGACGCCAGCCTGGGCTACGCACTGAGTTTAAGGCCAACTTGTCTCAAAGAAAACTAGATTCACATGTTGCCTTTTAAAAATATACTACACCTGGGCTGGGGATTTAGCTCAGTGGTTCCAGCGCCTGCCTTGCAAGTGCAAGGACCCGAGTTCAATCCCTGGTACAAAAAAAAAAAAAAAAAAAGTTAAAAATATACTACACCTATCATAAAAAACCAGGCTAACCCCGTACATTCTAGGTGTCAAACAGACCCCCCCAGCCTACCCCACTCAACAAGCCCGAGTTTCTCCAAGCTGGTCACAGACCTGCACAGTTCCCCCTGTGCCCTGATCCCACTGCTGTCCCCACAGGTGGGGGCTGGATGCACCTCTGCCCAGTTAACCAAGGGCAGCTTTCCTTGGCAGCCCCTCCCGGCCCCCGTCCTGCACGGCTCAGTCACAGCTCAGATGTCCACAACCTTTGAGGAGCTGCTGGGAAGCTATTTTTACTGCTGCCCCAGGAGTCCTCCAGGGGCACGAGCAGATCACTCTACTCTGACTCAGGCTCTTCCTAGACCCTCCCAAGAGCCAAGCTGGCTGAGCCACAGCTCTTAATCCTGTCTGAACAGTGGTTTCCCCATACTCACTGCTGACTCCTGTTTTCCTGGGAAAACTCAAAATATTCAAGTCCTGATCAGCTCTGGGGTCGTGGCCAGTGCCTTGGGGCTCCTGCAGCCCCAGCTCTGACTTGGGCCCTGACAGGTGGGGACCCCACACTGCTCACCCCACTCTCCAGCTGCCCCGCTCCTCTTCCAATCCTTCCTGACTTCTCCACTCCACTCCTCCATTCTCTCCACAGCCCCTCACCCTGACTGGGTACTTCCGGGGCACAGCCCTCTTGGCCAGGGGTCGTTAGGATGCAGGGACATAACTTCCTGGGAGCAAGGTCAGGAGAGGGTGGCTTGGGACTGAGCCAGCGTCACACCACTGGCTCCCACAGGATGAAGAGGGGTGAGCTCTTCGACTATCTCACTGAGAAGGTCACCCTGAGCGAGAAGGAAACCAGGTAGCATCCACTCACTCCTCCCAGTCCTCTCCCCAAGGCCCAGAGCCACAGGGCCAGGTCCCAGGGAAGCACGTGGGCCTGTCACGCTGGGTGTGTGCACTGCTGGCTTCAGCGGCCTCCCTGTCCCCAGCCCTGCGGGGGAGGGGGAGTGACGTGTGGTGGGACACTGATGACAGGGCGAAGTGTTGCCTGATTCTAGAAGGAAGAACAAAGCCAAGTGGGGCAGGGGAGAAGCTCGGGATAGAGCTCACTTAGCATGTTCGAGGCCCTGGATTCCATCCCGTCCCCCATCCTCACCCTCCCTGGAAGGAGTGACATGTGCTCCTGGCCTCAGGAAAATTATGAGGGCCCTGCTGGAGGTGATCAGCGCCCTGCACAAGCTCAACATCGTGCACCGGGACCTGAAGCCCGAGAACATCCTCTTGGATGACAACATGAACATCAAGCTCACCGACTTCGGCTTCTCCTGCCAGCTGGAGCCAGGAAAGAAGCTGCGAGGTCTGGTATCCCTCATCGGCGCCCCCAGGAACACACACTGCCTGGGCTCCCACTTTGCCCCCGCCTCAGGGGATCCAGCTGAGTCCTCTTTCCCAGACTAGCCGAGCCAGTCGCCACTGTTTGTGTCCAGGCCAGGGTGGCTACAGGGGCCCTTTCCAGTCCGTCTCGGTGCCCCCTGACAGTAGCTGTTCCGCAGAGGTCTGTGGGACCCCCATCTACCTGGCCCCCGAAATCATCCAGTGCTCCATGAACGATGACCACCCAGGCTACGGGAAGGAGGTGGACATGTGAGTTGGGGTGGCGGCGGCCCTGGCACTGCCCCTGCTGCCCCCTCCAGGCCGGGCAGGTGTGAGGAGGCCGTGCGCCCCGCAGGTGGAGCACAGGGGTGATCATGTACACCCTGCTGGCCGGCTCCCCGCCCTTCTGGCACCGAAAGCAGATGCTCATGCTGAGGATGATCGTGAGCGGCAGCTACCAGTTCGGCTCCCCGGAATGGGATGATTACTCGGATACCGTGAAGGATCTGGTGAGGCCGGACGGAGGCACACGCCGCGTCCTCCAAAACACGGGACCGCTGCCCTGCGTCCTCAGGACCCTCCCACCCCCCAGGTCTCGCGCTTCCTGGTGGTGCGCCCCGAGAACCGCTGCACGGCAGACGAGGCCCTGGCGCACCCCTTCTTCCAGCAGTACGTGGTGGAGGAGGTGCGGCGCTTCAGTCCCCGCGGGAAGTTCAAGGTGCGAAGCCCCGGCTACGCCTGTCCCCGGCCCCTCGCTCCCGGCCCCCCCCTACCCCAGGTCAGCAGCTCGGGTCCTGTCCCGGCCGCGCAGGTCATCGTGCTGACGGTGCTGGCCTCGGTGCGAATCTACTACCAGTACCGCCGCGCCAAGCCGGTGAGCAGAGAGATCGTGATCCGGGACCCCTACGCCCTGCGGCCCCTGCGCCGCCTCATCGACGCCTATGCCTTCCGCATCTATGGGCACTGGGTGAAGAAGGGGCAGCAGCAGAACCGTGCCGCGCTGTTCGAGAACACGCCCAAGGCTGTGCTGCTGTCGCTGGCCGAGGGGGAGGAGGACTTCTGATGGGGGGCTCCAGGGACAGAGGGAGGGGACGACGCGAAGGCTCCCCATGTACACCCTGGGGAGGCGAGGTCCCCGCCGCTGCGTCCCCCCTCGGCTCTGTTGCGGGGGGGCCTCTTCCCCAGGGTCCCGGGAGAGGACAGAAGACGGAAATGTCTGCCACACGACTGCGAGAGATGCAGTGCCCTGTGGTCCCGGGCACAGTCAGAGGCACGGGAGCCCTGCGCCATGACCAGCCCGGGAAGCTTCGGTGTTTCCTCCGCGAGTACTGCTGACTCGGTGCGTTACTTGGTTCTCCCAGACCCCTGAATTCCGAGACAGGTTCTCGACAGAGGGGACACCGCAGACAGGCAAGTGAGGGGCACTCCTTCTTTCCATAACAGTTTGCTAGGAAGCTGGGCATGATGGCGCACGCCTGTAGTCCCAGCCCTCAGGAGGCTGAGGCAGGAAGATCACAGGGAATTCAAGGCCAGCCTGGGCAACACAGTGAGTTCAAGGGCAGCCTGAACTACATAGTGAGACCCTGTCTCAAACACAACCACCCCTCCGGGGGGGAAAAAGAGTTCATTAAGGAAAAAGCTGCCTACTAGCGAGAATTCTGCTGCAAGGAGACAATGTGAGATCCCCGAGTCAGACAGGGATAAGGGCAGGGTATGCACTTGGACATCGCAACCAAGGCCTTCAGGGCATCCTTTCCTGCCTTTGAGTATCTGGCCCCTGGGTCCACCGCCCTTGCCCTCTAAGGGAACCCCAGCTCCCAGTCCACCCTGTTCTCTACGCAGCAGCGGGGTCCCCTCCTGACCCGGTGAGAGATGGCGAGGGTGGAGGGCAGGGCGGAAGCGTAGAATGTGGGTGCGCTGGGCACGCAGCGACGACAGAGTGCCGCGGTGCTCACAGCTCCCCGAGGGGCCGGCCCACGCTGGCCGCACAGCGGAAACTCAAGTTGTCCGAGGCTGAATCAGGAGTATTTCCCATCCTGCCAATGGAAAGGGAGAAAGAAAGTGTGTGTGCTGACCGAGCGAGGGGCTCAGAGGCCCGGGTGCCTTCGCAGCCTGGCAGGAGGGCAGGTCCTGCGCTAGCGCTACTTGTGCGGAAGAGAGGCAGGTGGTGAGGAAGCAGTTTTCCACCAGCTCAGCCCAGGAACCTGGAGTAGAAATGCGGTCCCGCAGGTGGCACCGTGCTCGGGAGGGTAGGGTCTCCCCGCTTTGTAGACGAGAATCAGACCCAGGGCAGATGGAAATGTCCTGCCTGTCACCCCTGCTGTGCTCGGGAAAACATTCGGTGATAAACCCAGGTTGGAAGGTGGGTACCTCCCCCACCCTTCGTCCAGAAACTGAAGGTGAAGAAAATTCCCTGCTGTTCTTCAGGAACCCGGGGAGGGAGAGAGAGCGACCTAGTCAGGCCCACAGGGGTGAAGTAGAGCCCTTGAAGGGGACCCAGGAGCTGGGGGCGCCGCCCTTCAGACGCCCCCACTAAGGACCTCCCTGAACCTTTTTCATTATGAAAAATGTCTTGTGTGCGCCAGCTCGAGGAGTCAGGGATTCCATGACCATTGGAGATGACGCCACTGCAGCCACTCCACTTGCCTCCCGTCCCCTAGCTGTGAGGGGACCCTGCGGTCTCCCTGCGTGCAGGACCTGGCGGGAAAAGGCCCCTAGCCGTCGCAGTCCCTCTTGCTTTCCACGGCCCCACTGCTCACTCTCTCCCCTGCCTGACTCCGGTGGAAGTGGGGTACAGCAGCAATGCCCTTCGTCTGGGCTGGGGTCCCTTGGACCAGGCGCCTCACCTGGTGGTGACCCGGGCCCGGTGGTTGGCGGAGCCGTCAGCAGTGTCGATCCAGGACGCACCCCGGAGGACACGCATGTCCTGCTCCGCAGGCTGGTAGGGCGACGCGGTCCACTCCCACACATTGCCCACGAGGTCAAAGAGCCCTGCACAGGGAAGTGGGGCCTGGGGTGCTTCTCTCTGCCGTCCCCCTCAGGCATGGAGATCCACCCTGCAGCGACCCCAGTGCCACTGCAGCCGGAAGGAAGGAAGGAAGCAAGCAAGCCTTACCATAGTCGTTCTGCGGGGGAAAGGCATTAACTGGCGACACTCCGTGGAAGCCGTCCTCAGCTTTGTCACCCTTGGGGAACTTGCCCTAATGGCGGAAATGACACCCGAAGAACAACAGGCCTGTCCAAGGGGAACCTGGCCCTCGTGCCTGGCTGTATCCCTGGGCAGGGCAGGGCAGGGCAGGGCAGGAGCCATGGTGCCCACTGCAGTCCATATCCAGCCTACCTGTGCCCACTTCTCCACCCTCAGCAACTTCTTGAGGCCACGTGCCTGAGGAGAGGCAGCTCTGATTCTTTGTGCTCAACAAAGCCACCCTGCACCTTCTCAGGGTCACCCGGGCCATCTCTTCATGTCTCTCCCTTTTGCCACCAACACTCGTAACTCCCTCTCCTCTGCCTTGACTCAACTCTTCCCTCTCGCCTGCTCCTCATCAGCAAGATTCTTCAAAATGTAACCAATATTTGCTGCTATCATTTGTTCAATTTGGTCATTTTTCTTCTAAAACTGAACTTCAGTGCATGCCTATAATGCCAGCACTGAGTAGGCTGAGGCAGGAGGATCGCCATGAGGTCAAGGCCAGCATGAACTACACAGTGAGACCTTGTTTCAAAAAAAGTTAAAAAGAAAGAAAAAAGGTGGGACCTTTAAAAGGAGGTAACAACAACAACAAAAAAGAATTAGGATTTATGCTTCATGTAGTGGGGCAAAAAGGTAACAGGTCACTGCAACATCACCTTAGGAGCAGAGTACTGCTGGTTTCTTGGACTCAGTTCCCACAAGAGTAATTATAAAGCAATGTCGCCCCACGTTTGGCCCCTTCCACTTCACCAAGTTGGGATGGGGGTGAGGGACTCGTCACTTCCAGAGGCCAAGCAGATGGGGCTGCAGGGTACAGGCCATTAGCCTGCACAACTGTGAGTGGAGTAAACCTGCCTTCTTTATAAAACACGCAGCATCTGGCATTCTGTTACAGCAATAAAGATATGCATATACTCTCGAGCCACTTGCTCCGACCTGGGGCCCTGTTCTAAACTCTAGATTCCAATTTTCAGCTTCTCATTTTTTAGTGGTGCCAGGAATCCAGCCAGGGCCTTGTGCAAGCTGGACTAGTGCTCTACTTCTGTGCTCTGCTCCAGCCCTCCTGAGCATATACTCAACCCAAAGACACCCTAAACCAAGCTGACCCTGAACTACTAGGGACTGTCCCCAGGCCCCAGATCACCTAGTGCGGACAATGGCAGCACTGGTACCATGTGGCCACACCCGGATTTGTGCTTGAATCCAACCTCCCATGTGATCAGTTACTATACCTTGCTCACCTGAGGTGCACGTCTTCCATTTGACTTTCTCCACCACCACCCTGTGTTTTTTTGTTTTTGTTTTTGTCTTGGTACCAGGGATTGAACTCAGAACCATGTACTTTTGAGGCAGGCAGCAGTACCACTGAGATAAATATCTGGCCCTGCCCTGTGTTTTTTGAGATGATCTCGTTGGCCTCAAACACAGATCTCCCTGCCAAAACCTCCCATGTGCTGGGATCACAGGTGTGCACCACCATCCATGACCAACCCACTGGCTTCCTCTCTACAGTCCATTTTCTCTTAATACAAGAGTCAAGAGCCGGAGTCTCTGCCACAGCCTCAAATTCAGACTTCCTGTCAGCACTGCAATGCTGCACAAATCAGCAGGTAGCAAGCATTTCCCTGTTAAGCCAACGCACTACTGCTCCAGCCATATAACCTGACAGTGTTGGGAACGTAGCTCAGGGCCACAGTGCTAGCCCATCTAACCCAAGGCCCTGGGTTCCAACCCTAGAACCTCAAAGGAAAAACAGAATACTTCAGTTGACACAATACAATGCTAGGTACCTTGCTTGTTTCCTATACTGGGATGACTTTTTTTTTTTTTTCTTCAGTACTGGGGACTGAAAGGAGAGCTTTGCATTGAGCTACATCCCAGCCCTTTCAAAAATTATTCTTTTAGATTCTGAGACAAGGTCTTGCTAACTTGCTAAGCTGCCCAGGGTGGGCTTGACTTTGTGATCCTCCTGCCTCAGCCTCTCAAAGTTATGAGATCAGATGCGTGCCATCACACCTGACTGGAATGCACCTTCTTTAACTTCACTGCGCAACTCCCTGCTTAACCAGCACAAACATCCCCTTTCTCATGAAGTCATCCAACACCCGAGACATACACTGCCTTCTGCCTGAACAGCACAGTTCTGCACCAGCTGACTGACCACAGGGCCAACCCACACCCGCGGAAGGAGGGAGGTCTCACCTGCCACAAGTTGGTGCGGTTGGGCTGGAACCTGTTTCCCCAAGGGTAAACCTGACCTGCCGGGAGACCAGGAACCACAGAGAGAGTCAGAGAAGGGAAAAAGTGAGGGAACCAGAAGGATATGAGGTGGCAAGAAACAAGGCCTGGGTCGTTTACTTACCCCTCCTCCCTGCACTGCACTGGGAGCCCTTGACCTTGATCTCCCAAATTGTCCTATTATTGATTGACTGACTGTGGTACTAGGAATCAAATCTAGGCCCTTCACACTGAGCTACATCCCCACCCCTTTCTATTTTTTACTTTGAGATAGTCCCTGTAAATTGTCCAGCCTGGACTCAAACTTAATGATCCTCCTGCCTCAGCCTCCCAAGTAATGGGATTATAGGCCTGCACCACCACACCATGCTTAATTACATTTACTGAAATGTAACAATACTGTGGAATCTCCAACAATAAAATATTGTGTATCTGCTTTTCTTTCCATTTGTTTCTCCTTTTTATGGCATTGTACAGATGTTCTGAAACATCAGTGCCAACACAATTGGTCCCCGGCCACAGACAGCTCAGGCTATGGTGTGCTGGGGAGTGGCCCCTTCCCACCCTATGGAGCTCCCGGTGCGGCAGGCTGAGGAGAGGACATGGGATGGCCCTGGAGTCCGTACCCTTTAGGCCACCCCGGGCGGCAAACTCCCACTCCTCCTCGGTGGGCAGCCTGCGGGCCCGCCATGCACAGTAGGCCTGGGCGTCGTTCCAGCTCACATGCAGCACAGGCTGCTCCAGCCTGTCCCGGATGCCGGAGCCAGGTCCTGCGGGCTGACAGGGACAGAGTGAGACAGAAGGGTGCACCCACCTGGGGGCTGAGCTCAACTCCACTGCTAGGTGGAGCCAGGTTGGTGGGAAATAGCCTGGCTGAGCAAGGCCGACCAGAGCCAGGAAAGGGGCCAGAGACTCACAGAGAAGCAGGTGGGCAGCAGGGAAAGCAGTGAGGATAGAAGACCCTCTGCTGGGCATCGCTTACAGCTTGATATCTCCAGATGTCAAGGGGTCTGGGGGAGCTGAGTCCCTAGAATAAGAATCCCCAGCGGCCGACAGTGGGGTGGAGGAGCCAGCACTTACCTGCCTCCAAAATGCCCTTTCCACCGGAAGCCACCAGAGGACAGGCTGCAGAAAGGAAGGAGGTGGGCAGTTGGGGCTGGGGTCTTCACAGGGCATCTGACCACCTTCATTAGAGGCCCGGATGTTCTCTCAGGGGTTCAGGAAGTACAGTATCGGAACTCTGCATTCCTCTGGACTTTTATCAATCTTTCTACCAAAGAACAAGCTCAGGGCTCCCTCCCATGGGTGCATATCAGCCTGACTCCTGCAGGGTGCCTTGGCCTCACTCCCTCTCCACTTCCAGCTCTCAGGCAGGTTTGCCCCTGCACTGTAGCCTGGGTGACCCCACATTCCACAGGACTCTGGATCAGCCCCCATTCCCATCCCCTCAGCTGCAGGACCACATCTTCTCACCTTCATCTGCTGGGATGCTTTGTTTTTTAGCTCACTGGAGACGAAGTCCTCAAAAACAAAGCTCCACCCAAAGAGCTCAGCCTCTGTCCTGTACTTTCTCTCCCTGACAAATTCCCTGGAAAAAGAGATTTCCCTGGTCTCAGCTGAGGGATTTGGTATCCCGTCCCTCTCCTGCTCTAGGAAATCTTAGTTCCTTTGTCCCATAAGAAACGCACCGCACAGATTTCAAGGTGCCAAAGGACTAATGTAAAAAGCCCAGGCAGAGTTTCTTTACAATTAGGCTATAATTCACATACAGTAAAATTACAATCCCCACCCCCTACCCCGGTATTGGGGATCGAACTCAGGACCTTGTGCTTTTAAGGCAGGCACAGCACCAATGAGCTAAATCCCTGGTCCATAGTTCTATGAGTCTTGACAAAATGTACAATCACTACCACAGTCAGGCTGCAGCTGGGGGTGTAGCTCAATGTAGTGCCCTTGTCCAGCATGTGTGAGGCCTGGGCCCCATCCCAGCAGCACATGTGTGCACACACGAACACAGATACAGAACACCCCCATCAACCACTTCCAGAATTTCTCCAGTGCCCCTGAAACAATGGATCTGCTTTTTGGCCCCATGGTTTTGTCCATCCCAAGACATTGTGGAAACTGAACCCTGGAATATGCAGTCTTTGGGGTTTGGCTTCTCTCGCTTGGCCAAATGCATCGGAGATGCATCCACGCTGTCCCAGCATTGGTGGCCCTTTCTGCCGACGAGTGCAGCATACTGAGTTTACACATCACCAGCTGCAGCGCATCCTTCAACTCCTCTACTTTTTAGAAATGCATAAGGTACGAAGCAGGAAGCTCAAGGTTGGGGACAGGTCTCTTTCTGAAGTCTCCCTCACTTACCTAAACTCACAACAAATCATGGGGGCACAGGAGTTCTTGTCTCCATATAGCATACAAAAGGCACTGGGTCAAAAATAACATACCTAGACTTCAGGATGGACTCTCCTGCGGTTTGGTATGGGTCCTTTTCTTTTTTCTAGTACTGGAGACTGAACCCAGGGCCTTCACACTGGGCTATATCCTCACCTCTATTTTATTATTTTTGAGACAGGGTTTCATTAAGTCACTAAATTGCCCAGGCTGGGCTCAAAGTTGTGATTTCCTGCCTCAGCCTCCCAGGTTTAGTATATTTCAGCAAACAGAGTGTAGGGATAAAATGAATTGTTTTCCTTGAGTTAACTTTGAGAAGACATTGTTAGGGGCTGGGAATGTAGCTCAATGGCACCGTGCCTGCCTTATAAGTGCAAGGAAGGGCCTGAGTTTGATCCCCGGTACCAAAAAAAACCACAGGAAGTGATCAGGAAATTTCGTACCAATACTACTTACCTGTCCCAGAGCATGTGAATGGTTTGTGAGCCTCTTACTAGAGAAGCAGAGATAAATTATGGGGTAATAAAATTTGGGGACTTGTTGAAGGTGACGTCATATTTCCACCATACAATAGCTCATAACATAAATATAAAAGAATGCATACTTTTCATCTATTTCTGGTTATCATGATATGGTGCCAAAGAGATCAGAAGTATTTATCCTCCAGTTTAATTTTTTAATCTTTTTTTTTTTGTACCAGGGATTGAACTTGGGTCCTTGTGCTCATGACGCAGGCGGCAGAACCACTGAGCTAAATCCCCAGCCCCCTCCAGTTTAATTTTATTATTATTAATATTTTGGATTTTTTTAAAATTTTGGGTTTTTGAGGCAGAGCCTTGTTATGTAGTTCAGGCTGGCCTTGAACTCACTGTGTAGTCACTGGCCTGGCCTCACACTCAAGGTGATCCTCCTGCCTCAGCCTGCCAAAGTGCTGGGATTACAGGCATGCACCACCCTACCCAATGGTATGATACTTTTTCCAACCTTGCCCTCCTCCCCCAGAACAGGTTGGTGCTGGGTGTTTGACTTCTGCTCCTGCTTTCGGTGATACAGCCAGTGTTGAGGCAAATGCACTGGTGTAAGAGCCAAGGGATTCATTTGTAATCCCAGCACTCAGGGAAGTGGGGCAGGAGGAGCATGACTTCCAATCCAGTGAGGGAAACTTAGTGACAGGGAGGACCCTGTCTCCAAATTTTAAAAAAATAAAAAGAAGAAAAAGGACTGGCATGTAGTTTGGTGAGAAAGCTCTGGGTTCAGTTCCCAGTACAGTAAATAACTAAATGAATTAATAATAATAAAATGTGTCAAGGATTTGATCTCCAGGCCCAGCTCTTCCACTGAAGAGGTCACGTCAAACCCCTTTGGCCTTCAGATTCTTCATCTGAGAGATGGAAACAACATCTCACACAGCGCCAGTAAGGTGATGGGTGACAATGAACAAGCTAGTTTCCTTTTAGACATCAGGAATGAAGGTCAGAAAGAGCCTTTACTCCCCCTAAAAAACACCCGATGTACCTGAAGTCTTTATTGGTGACAGGAAATATGTCGATGGCAAAAGGCTTTACTGTTACCTCCCGGACAGGCCCTTCACCGTCTCTGGCATCCGGAGCATCTGTCCCCATCAGGAACCGTCCACCTGGCAGCTGCACCATGTCAGCAGCTTGTGCATTTCCTGCAGAAGAGGGCAGGTATCAGTAATGCATTCGCAGATATGTGACAAGCGGGATTATTTGGGTTAAATGTAAAACTCATCACAGTATAAAAAGACAGTCATGAAAGCTGAGTAACTGGACGTTAGCCAGGAGTGGTGGCACACACCTCTACACTCAGACTAAGGCAGGGGGATTGCAAGTTCGAGCCCAGCATGACCAGTTTAGTGACTCAGTGAGGACCTGTCTCAAGATAAAAAATTAGAAAAGGGCTGGGATGTGATTCAGTGCAAAGGCCCTGGATTCAATCCCCAGTACTGCACTGACAACAACAAAAACAGTAGCTTTAAATTCTTGTTCTGTCACTTTATTTGCTGGGGACCTTAGGCTAGTTACTTAGTCTAAGACCCAATTTCTTCATCTATACAGTGGTGATAACATCTATTCTACAGCTGGGAGCTATATGAATTTAGCTGGGGCCAGGGATTTAGCTCAGTGGTTCCGATGCCTGCCTTGCAAGCACAAGGACCTGAGTTCTATTCCCGGTACCAAAAAATAAATAAATAAAAAATAAAAAACTTGAAATATTGAGCTCATGATTGCTCCTCACTCACCTGTTTATTCCTCAATACAACCCTTTGTCCCAGCCAGGTAAAACCTGAAACTACAATCTCAAATACATGTAGTATTTGTGTTTTGTTTTTCAGACAGTATCTCACCATACAGTCAGGCTCATCTTGAACTATGTAGCCTAGGCTAGCTTCAAACTTGCAGCAATCTGTCTCAGCTTCCTGAGTGCTAGGATTACAGATATGGGCCACCATACACAGCTTATATCTAGCACTCTCTACCTATTTTTCTACTCATGCTGTTTCTCTTCCTTTGTTTTGTTTTTTTGGTTTTTTTTGGTACCAGAGATCAAACTCGAGACCTTGTGCTTTCAAGGCAGGCGGCAGCACCATTGAGCTAAATCCCTGGGCCCTCTCTCCATTTCTTGAATGTTTACCTTTTTTTTTTTTTATCCAAGACAGGTCTTATATTGCCCAGATTGGTCCAAAACTCTCATGATAAAGTGATCCCCCTTCACCCCAGCCCTTCAAATGCTGAGACTACAAGCCTCAAACACTAGGTTGGGTACGAATTAACTATTTTCACCACTATAACATGCTGCAGAAGGGAAGGGACTATATCTATTTTGTCGGGGTAGCCCTGGCACCTAGCACAAATGTACTGATAATTCAACAAGCTCCTTTATAAGCTTGCTGTTTGAATGCTTCAGGAAAGTATATAATGAAAACAATCTTCCATTTCATTATTCCGTAGGAGGAAAGCAAGACCCAAAAGAATTGCTGATTTATGAGTTGGTTTGGGTCTGGGAGTGCAGCTCAGTGGTAAACTGTAGGGGGAAAAGCTGATCCCCCTACATAGGATTCCACCCAGGACCTTCGGTACAGCGGTGTTCCCAGAAGGCCAAATTCTCTGACTTCAAAAGACTTAGGCAGTGCTTTCAGGAGAGACATCCTAGCACAATTCCTCACAGGCAGAGAAGGCCAGGCCTTTTCATGTTCCTCAGGACTGTGTCTTTAGCCCCTTTTCTCATTCCAACAGGACACACTCTCATTTCATCCAGTTCCAGTTCCCTCAATAGATTTTAAGAAAAAAGGGGCAAGCAGGGAAATAGCAAATGAAAAGAGAAGTAAGAAACAGCATATAATCGCAATGTATAAACTTTGTTTTGACCTGACCCAACAAGCAAATCCTATAACACCAGCATGCTGGGAGGTTGAGGCAGAAGGATCTCAAATTCAAGCTTTGCCAGCCTAGGTAATTCAGTGATTTAGTGAGGTCCTGTTTCAAAATTTTAAAAAATGATAATACAATAAATGAAATTTTAAAAGTCGGGGGATTGGGCCGGGAATTTAGCTCAGTGGTTCCGGCGCCTGCCCCGCAAGCGGAAGGACTTGAGTTGGATCCCCGGTACCAAAAAAACAAACAAACAAACAAAAATTAAAAAAACACGGGGAAATGTAGCTCAGAATAAAGGACCTGGGTTCAATCCTCAGCACTGAGGGTAAAAACTGAAGAAATGAATTTGAGAGACTGGACATCATATTGCAGTTCTGCCAATGCTCAGGTGTAAGAATTGTTACTGCGATTCCTCCCGTGCCATCATGGGTCCTGTGCTGAATTTCTGGGAATAAATTGCTGCCAGGCTGAGCTTCACCTCTGGTTCCAGGAGTCAGGGACCCTCAGAGAGAAAGACACACACTGCCAACTATTCGGGCCAGGCGACAAGTATGAGAAGGGTCTTCATTTCTCTCACTTTCAGATTCGAGAAGTGAGAAGCAGCAAAGTGCCACTGACACCGAGCGCCCGCGACACAGGGCCCCGCGCTGCCCCGCCAAAGCGAGCTCGTCCGGGGCGGAGCGCACACCCCCCCCTCGGCGCGTTCGGCGAGAGGCGAGGCCAGCACACTGACCTAGCTGGAGCCACGGGAGGGACAGGAGGCACAGCAACGACGACGACAGCGAACCCACCATGCCGAAGAGGCGGGGCTGGGCGCAGCCTGATACGCATGCGCCCGCACACCACGCCCTCCCCCCCCGCCGCGCATGCGTACACCCGGCGCCTAGAAATTCACCCTTTGGCCCCAAATAGTGCAGAGGCAGAGCCCTGGGGCCAGCCGCGAATGTGTTGCTGACCCCTGCCATCCCAGCAGCCCCTTCACTATTATGTAGTTCTGAACTTATTTCATCCTCATATTCAGATGGCTTCATGTAGTTCACTATTCCACTGCAAGACCACAAAGGCTTCAATTTAACATTTATTGCACTCACTGTAGGATAGTAAGCCCTCAAAATACAAAATGTATGATGCAAAATTACCAAGGACCGCAGCTATTAGGTGCATAAAAACAATAACAGGAAAACTAGATAAGTTCTTTGAAAAAATCGTGATACTACAGGGCTGGAGTAGATCTTTTACAAAAGTATAGTCCTTAAGCTTGAAAATGTTATACTAAAAAAATCTATTTCACCTAATAACTCCAGTCCTTAGTCATCAGTCTTCAGCCATCTTTTTACTTTTTCGGAGACAAGGTTTTTTCATGTAGCTCAGGCTGGCCTAGAACTCCTGATGACCCTCCTGCTTCAGATGCCTCACCCCACTTCTACCTCTATTTTTGCCACTATACTCAAAGCTGTTTCCTTGTCCCTACTCAGTTCACTGTCTTCCTAGCCACTAACATAAATTATCTGAGGGAGCACTTCAGCAAAGCTATTTCAAAAGCATGAAAAATCCAAGTGATTTTTACTTAGAAATTTATATTAAGGGGATAGATGGTTCCAAATTTTTAAATCACTCAAGTGTTACTTGTATTAGCATAACATTTAATATATGTTTGACAGGGGACTACTGGTTAATTTAAAACATCCAGAGAAAATTATTAAACCATTAAAAATTTGTTTCTCAAGGAATATTTAATAAAGGTAGAACATGTTAATGCAGCTAAAACAAAACCACCTGTGTTCTGGGTAAAAAGGACCCACTTTGTGTGTACACTTAGTGCAACTAAAAATACTGTAATTAGAATTCTATATCATAATTTGAATAAATGCCAAGAGCCCTCTCTTTTTATTCACAAGGAAAAAGAAAATTCCTTTGAAAATCATTTGAAGCTTGGACAAAAATCCCACAACTCTACGCTTCAGTGATCACTCTGTAGTCTTCAGGATTCAGATACCAGGGAGGCTTGCATTCAGCCTTTCAGAGAGGACATTCCGGCCCGCATGATCTCGTCCACCAGGAGGATGTTTGTTGCAATCACAGTGCTAAGAAGGAGGAAAGCAAACAAAAGGCTCAGATGTGAACCCTAACTTAACCCAGACTGCATTTCCCACATAACTGCACACACCAGTCCAGCTCAGGCCCCGTTTTGCACCCCATAGGCTTTAGTTTGTTTACCATTACATTCTCTTGGGAGGTGAGGGGGTCAAGACATACAAAGCAAAGAATAGGTGCTTCCCTAAAGCTGAGTTTTCATCTGCCCACACTTACCAGGAGTGAAGCAGCTGTTTCTTCACACAATAGTTATCCCACACACCTGCCTCTGCTGCTACCATCGGCTCACCTGAAAAGTAACAAAATCACATGCAGTAGGCCACAATATCAGAAAGAACAGGAACACTCATTCTATTTTTGTTTTGTTTGGAGTGGCTCGAGCAGTCTTGTTTTGTGTAGTGTAGGCTGAACTTGAACTCATGGCAATCCTCCTGCCTCAGCCTTCCGAGTGCTGGGATTACAGGTGTACACCAGCACACCTGGCTCTATCCATTCTATTTTCTTTCATATTTTATTTATCCCAACCTAGAATCCAGAGCTCTCTCAAAGTTCTGCTCTCCAATTGCAAAGAAATCACCAACGTGGCTTGGTGCTCACCAACACCCCCAGCTTCAGTTTGCCTGTGTGTCTAGCTCTCCCCTATCAATGTTGCATTCTCTTACCTGTGTTCAGGTCCACACCCACAAGTTGACCTGACTCTGAATGTTCCGCTTGAATTTTAACTAATGTTTCCTGAAGGTCAAAGCCGGAGTTCTGAGCAAGGACCTAAAATACACAAATTTAATTTGTGAAAATACAGGAACCAAGAATTAAGAGCAAAGTCTACAATAAACGAATAGCATTTCTAATTAATTTTTTAAAACCACAATGAAGACAACCACTTTTGTTCCCTCTTCCTTTCAGAGAATAGGCAGACATACATAAGCAACCAACCTCTAACCTGCTGCAGACCTAGCAATACAGTGCTCACTGATAGATCCTTCAATGAGCTTGACAGAAAATGACGGTATTTGTAGTTTAAGTCTCCCAAAGAACAAAATACTCATAAGACGATATGGGATGCTCTACACTCACAAGAAAACTGATCAAATTTGCTTACCCAAACATTTTCACATTACAAAAAACCTAATTATCAGAAGGCTCAATCAGCTGAACTGTTTTGGTGCAGTTTAGAAAACTGTTAAAAACGTGTTCGTACCTTGGGAATAATGAGCAACGCATCGGCAAATGCCTGTACTCCGAGCTGGGCCCGGCCCTTCACACTGGACTTGTGTTTCATCAGTGCTTGTGCCATCGCCACTTCTACTGCACCAGCACCAGGAACCACGCAGCCTGTTCACGTGGGAGGAGACAGAAATGCTGAGCTAAGGAGAAGGGGAGAACCAACTACAAAGAAAAAACACATCAGCTGCATCTGAAAGCCACAACACAAGTGACCAATAAACCAAACAGCCAAACGGCTGAATTTAACCAGCACTTGGCAGCTCAGTATTAGTTCATTTATTTGTAGTCACTTTCAATAACGATATACTAGGAAAAACCAGCATATCATCAGTCATTTTAAAGGGAAGCCTTTACTTTTGCATGGTGTCTGGCTGTGTAAACTACTGATGAAAGAACACAGTATTCAGCCATGCTTCTTAGACAAACATGAAGAGTACACTGAAGATCTTACCATCGTCGATAGCATTTTTGACAGCCCTCAAGCCATCTCTTATTGCGTCCTTGATTTGAGTGAGAGTGTGCTTATTTGGTCCTTTGACCAATAACGTGACAGAGCGGGGATTGTTACATTTTTCAATAAAGGTGAACTTCTCTTCTCCCTACATGTACGAAAGATGGTATTTTCACAAACAGCACATGGTTACAGAGTGAACACAGGGGAAGGGTGTACAGAATAATTAGGACTTTAACAGCGCACAATATCGAACATATTAAAGAAAATTTTAACCAAAAATTCACATATAAAACAGATGGGAACTGGATGTGGTGGCACATGCCCGTATCCCAGCACTTGGGAGGCTGAGCCAAGATCACAGTGAGTTTGAGGTCATCCTGAATGGCACAGCAAGAGGGACCGTCTCTCAAAAACCCCCCCCAAAAAAAAAAAAAAAAAAAAAGAGGAAAGAAATGGATTTTCAAGGAAAGAAATGGGATTTTCCTGACAATGGCTTATTATCTTTACATATAAATCATCAAACGCAAGTAACAAAAGAAATGGGCTGGGAATCTGGCTCAGTTCAGTGATTCCTCTGCCTGCCTCGCAAGCACAATGGCCCCAGTTCAATCCCCAGCCCCCGCCCCAAAAAAACAACAAAGAAAAAATATCTGAACCTGAGTGTGAATTCTTTTTTTGGTGGGGGTACCAGGGATCAAACTCAGGTCCTTGCACGTGAGGCAGGCGGCAGAACTACTGAGCTAAATCCCCGGCCCTAAGTTTGAATTTTTCTACTGAAAAACTCATGAATAGAATAGTACAGGTAGTTTTCAGAGGGAAATACACTTACCAAAGTATACTCATAAACCAGTCCTGCATGTCCCAGACAGTCAGGATTTAGGTCATCAAGGGAATTTAGAGCCACCCCACCACAAGCAAGAGTCAGCCTGAAATGAGTTTTAAGGAACACACATAAGCACTATTACCAATCACTTTCAGAGAATACTAATAATTTTAAAGAAAATTTTAAGAATTACATAGGAAATACCCTACACCCACACCAGGGATCGAACTCAAGACCTTGCACTTGGGAGTCAGGCACGATGCCACTGACTAAACTGCTGGCCTGGAAATTATATTCTAAAAATGTGTTTCAACCTACATCTTCTTGTTTTTCATCAACCAACAGAAAACTAGTCTGTTCTTTTTTTTTTTGGTACCAGGGATCAAACTTGGGCCTTTGCACTTGCAAGGCAGGCAGCAGAACCACTGAGCTAAATCCCCGGCCCGTTCTCCTTTTAAAGCAGCCTTCCCAAGTCAGTAAATATTCTGACACAAAACATTAATGTAGATAAGAGCTGTTTGGGAAAGAATATTTCTCTGGAACCCCTTGACTAGGAAAACTCAGTTTCATATACGTATCTCTTAATAAAGAAACCGAGTCTGCATCTTGTCCAGCATGCATCAGGCCCATAGCACCCAATATTGAAACAGAAAAACAAGTTAAAATGCTAATTTTCATTATCTATATTTTACCATAATAAAACAGAAATGCAAAAGTTATTAAGTAGAGAGGGGAAAAAAATCTTAATTCACTTGCAAAATATGTAAAATTGATATTACTCATAATTCATACCTCTCCATATTTCTCCTTTTAGCTCTACGCAGAGCTATTATGCCCTCTTTTGCAAGAGCATCCAAGGAAAAAGGATCAATTCCCTACAACAAAAGAAAAATTAGTTTCACAATCTTTCAACCTAGAGAAAAATCTGGCAGGTAATTTCATTTATAAATTTAATTTCCACTCACCTTTTGATTAATAACAACAAATCCTCTATCCGAATCACCACAGACCTTCTTTTTCAGTTCTACTATTTTTTTAACTCTATCTTCAATGAATTTTCTTTCAGCTTTTACTAGTTTCTCTCTCTCTTCTGCACTCTTGTAGAAAAAGCCAGAATTCACTTCTCTATTAAAAAATGTTACAGAAAGGGGGAAATTTTACTTTTTTAAAGTAGCGAACAGCAGGCTGAGAAAGTGGCTTCACCCTAGGTTAGTAAGTCTGGAGTCCAATTCTGCCCTTGTGCACCCTCAGAGGCTGCCCGCCTTACTACTATAACCCAGACCAAGGCCACTTGGGCCTTACAATGGGGAAATGAGCCTCAAAAAGAAGTGATTTTCTCTGAAAACTTAAGCTACTCCTTCCATTCCTCTACTCCATCTTGAAGGGCCATAAACATACGTCTTTTCGTATTCCAAGGAGACATTGCACGTGAGGATATACGCATTTTCCACTCTTTTTTTCATATCAGGATGCCGGGCCCCATGGTCCAAAACAAGCCCTCTGATTAAGCTGTTAAAACAACAGAATTTATAGTTATTGATTTCCAGACAGGATTGGAACATACACTAGCAAAATCTAAACACTAAACTGAGACAGCACTGATAATTTTCACAATGATCAGCTTTACAGTTTGAATTTCTTGAACAAGACTTTTCAGAGAAAGCCAGGAAGGCCAACTGTGAGAAAGACATGTTCCAGAACACAAGATGGGCTATTCAAACAAATGTCAACTCTATCTTTCTCAAAGATAGAGATCCTATAGAATCCCAGCATTCTGGGAGGCTGATGTCTTTGGGATGCAGCTCAGTTTAAGGGCCCTGGGTTCAATCCCCCATCCCCCATACTAAAAATACAAAAACAAGCCCCTGCAGAGACAGAGACAGACACAGCTGTAAACTGTTAAGCTGTAGCTATTATTTCCTCTGAAGAAAGGTTTTCAGATGGCATGGTAACTCATACCTGTACCACCAGCACTTTAGGAGGCGGCTGAAAAGGGAAGAACTGAAGCCTAGGCAACTTAGTAAGACCCTGACTCAAAATGAAAGGGAAAGGGAGGGAGAGAACAAAGGGCCACCAACATAGCTCAATGAGAAGGCCCTGGATCAAATTCAATCCCCAAGACTATAACAAGAAAAATAGCTTTTCAAATTATGGTTTGGAAAAAAATTTTTTTCTTTTATTGAGACAAAGAAAGTCTCACTATGCAGTCTGGGTTGCCCTTGAACTCATGGCAATCTTCCTGTCTCAGCCATCCATGTGCCGGGGTTGTAGGTGTGAGCCATCACACCCTGAATGAAAAAGAATTTTCTTGATTCCCCAAGAGTCTCCCTTTATACTTTGTGCCCAAGTATTTTAGTAGATGCCAAATCATTAATGTCATTCAGATTCTGACCATAAACACATCACGTCCCTTATTTCTAAAGGAAATATTGGCTGGAGATTTAACTCAGTGGTTCTCTAGCCTTCCTCACAAGCACAAGATCCTGAGATTTGATCCACAGGTACCAAAAAAAAAAAAAAAAAAAAAAAAAAAAAAAAAA